ACACACACACACACACACACACACACACACACACACACACACACACACACACACACACACATTCATGAGGCGCAAGACCCTGAGGCAAAACCTGGAGGTTCCCTTTTGCTTTCATACATCAAGGACTTTACTGGAAACTCTTAATTTGAGTTCATTTGGATTACTTTAGTCACTGTGTGGCTCCCTGTGTGGATATTCAATGTATCTCAGTGCTGCTCCTGTGGGTGCGCACACATGTTTTGGTAATCGGGTGTCTGAGTGTGAGGGGACTGGGTGAACAAGAAGAATGACAAACTGACAAGAATAAACAAGCAGACATAAAACCCGACGCAGCTCTCATTTCGTGGAGACAGACGGTAAGTGGGAAGAGAAGAACAGTATTCTCTAGACCTATCTTATCCCAAACAAACTGATCTGGTTTGGCTACACAGTGTCTTGAGCGCAGTAAGGTAAATCAGGTAGTCAGGCAGTTAATCATCCACTCATTTATTCAGTTAGTCGTTAGATAGGTCCTGTCCTTTGGTCCTTGATTCAAATTCCAGCAACATTGTGCCTTTATGGGTTTGATCAGCAGCTATTAATAGGTCTGATAAATCAGCTATTCACATGACCCGTTTGCTTTGTCTTCAAATAGAAACCAAGTGGTTCTGTTTTGTTGCCCTCTCACATGATACGTCCTTCCATGCCGACCCACTGCTCTGTTTTTATTTTAACAACTGAATATCCTTGAATTCTTTCCCTCTTTTCTCTTCCACTTTCAGAACCAACCCATCATATTCTCACCTCTAGTAATTGCCAACATGGTATTTGAGATTTAGTACAAACAATTCCATTTTCTAATGTAGGGCAAGTAAATGCAGACAAAAAAGCATCTGCAGTAGCTGCTGCTGTGTCTCCTATGAAGTAAGCAAGAAGTATTTAGACACAATGGCTACAAATTAAAAATAGTACCAACATCAAAATAATGTTATTTTGTGGAGCTGACATTCCAATTACGAACTATATCCCAACAAAGTCAAAAGCCAGTTAAGTTATTCAGAGCCCAATTCCCTCACACACCATCTTAGTGGATGTTTTAATTTCTTTTTTTAAAGGTGTTGCCTCTCATGGCCTTTGGAAGCTAATACTGTGAAAAGCTGCATGGCACACTTTAGGAAGATCAAATAGCCTCCAGATATATTCCCTGGAAAGAAGGCGTTGACCAGTGGAGTGCCATCTTGAACCTTCTGGCAGTCGAACCATCTGTCCATCCCTCAAGAGGAGGCGAGATGTCGAGGCCTCCGTCCTCCCAGACTACCCCTCAGTTCCACAGGGTCAGCGACAGAGATCTCACCGAGATCGAGCTTCATTCTGTGGATTCTATCAACGATCTCCACCGAACACACCCCGAACTCAAAGGTACAAACACACCCCGAATGCAGCCACAAAGGTGCACATACACTCTGAACACAGACAACACAAAGATACACACACCCCGAACTCAGCCACAAAGATACACACAAAATCTGAACACAGAATGCAGCCACAAAGATACACACACACCCCAAACTCAACCACAAAGGTATACGCAAACTATGAACACAGCCACAAAGGTACCCACATACCTGAAGCAGCCACAAAGGTATGCACACACACCCCGAACGTAGCGCCCTGAATGCAGCCACAAAGGTACACACACACACCCCAAACGCAGGCACAAAGGTACACACACACACCCCAAACTCAACCACAAAGGTATACGCAAACTATGAACACAGCCACAAAGGTACACACATACCTGAAGCAGCCACAAAGGTACACACACACACCCCAAACGCAGGCACAAAGGTACACACATACACACACACACAAACGCATCAAACACAGCCACACCAGCCCCCAAAAAGACCGCCCAGAAGGTCAACGCACACTTCGAACCAGCTACAAAAGTACAAACACACTGACATTGATCCGCTGTCTATGATTTCAGGGATGAGGCCTCCTCGTCCTGCTTACTCGCCCTCCTCAAATGGGAATCTCTACACAAGCGACACGACAACTGTCAATCAAAGAGGCCGTCCGATCAGCAGCAAATGGCAGAGTTGTCTACAGGATATGTTAACGCCCAGTTCTTCGCATGCCTATGCTATGGGCTGTGCTATCATCACTCTGCTTCTGCTGACAGTGTTACTCATCTTCTACTTTTTGGGTGAGATACCATATTCGTTCGTTTCCCCTGATATCTCCTGGATATTTTGTATCTAACCCTCGATAGACAAGCTGACAGTTTGGCTTTTTGCCTCCAGTCCAGCAGGGCGGCGCAGTCCGGACGCTGACTGAGGCAGTGAAGGAGAAAGAGGCCTCAGCTACACAGCTGTCACTGCTGATCCAGGAACTGCAGGCACTGAGACACAACCTGACAGCCATGAGAGGAGGGACATAAGAAGACTTTGACTTTCAATTGATTTGTCCTCAATGTTTTCTGTGTTTCAAACTGGGAACTGATGAAACCATCTAAGGTTTCTGAAACATTTCCACTCTCTCCGGCCCTGGTAACTGTGTGTAAAGGAGCATATCTCATGACATTACATTCAATTATACACATTTTAATATTTAGCAAATGATGATTCAGCATTATTGCTCATAATCATGAGTCAAGTGTTGCCATTGTGTCACACAAAGCTGAATCTAGTTTGTGCTGTCAGTCATTGTACACCACTGAGAAAGTAACATGTGTAACAACACACAGTAACAATTATTAAAATCCAATTTTCATGCATATTTCATATTACGAATTGTTTTTGTGAAATTCACCCTTTTTTAAATCATGTAAATTAAACACAATTCACGAATCTATTTGTTTGAATTGATTTTTTACATTCCGACTTTACATTAGCGACCGCACCTTGACAGTAAAGTTTGGTTTATGTGCTCTACTGTCTGTCTTCGTCCTCCTCTTCCTCTTGACATTCCTGCCCGCTCCAGCCCGGGTAGCACTGACACATGAAGTGGTTGTGAAAGTGTTTGCCGTTGAAGGAGCCAGTGAGGACGTTGATCTCATCAGAGTCAGAGGTCATGGCCGGACTGGAGCCGACCATGTGACTAGAGCCGGGGCGTCGCCTGGCGCAGCGGCCATTGTCGCGGCAAAGTTGAAGGCTGCAGCGCTTCATGTCGGACCTCAGTGATTGGACGAAGGGACCCAGGACCGTGTGTATGTAGTCCCTGAGAAGGCTGCACTGATGCTGGGCGGTGGGAGAAGTTCAGAGGGTTACACACACACACAGAGACACACACACACACACACACACACACATCAATAACATTCTTCTAACAATACTGACCTTGGATTTGGCAAATTTCAGCTCTCCCCACAGCACCACGCCGGCAGCTCCAAGCGCCGCACTCTCCCCCAATGTGTGCACCAGGTCTGTCTGCACACACACACACACACTTGCAATTGGTATATGTGTGTGCGTGAGTGTGCATGATTTTATGAGTTGCAACAAATCCTACCTTATTAAGAAAAGTGAGAGAGTGACTGAACGCTAGCCTGGCATAGGGAAGGACTGGTGTGGCCCGTCTGGTATCATTGCCATGGCGCCAAACCGACGCCACCCTCAAAGCCTCCAGCAGTCTGTGTCTGAGTGACGAATGAATGAAGAACGTCCATCAGTAACTCCTTTAACTCCTGTGTGCAGAGCATTTAGTTGACAGTGATTTTCATAGAGGTTTAGGCTGTTTCTGTGGCCAAAGCGGGTTTGATGCGGGTTAACATTTCCTCATGCGTTTCAGTCTTCTGTACCTGACCATCAGAGCTGCATCTGGGGATCCTGCCAGTCTTTGCGGCAGGTAGACGCTGGGATAGAGAGCAGTGGACCGACGCCAGAGCCAGGACAGACGGTCATTTTGGTCCTTGTTCCCCCGCTGGCAGCGTCCGGTGTAGCTTTTATCTGAGCACACATGTGAAACAAGACAAGACACAAGTTCAGTGTTTATCATCAGTTATAAAAGACTTAAACTTTATGTTCTGGATTTGTATAAATGTTATAAAAAATGGTATATGTAATACCTTTTGGTCAAAACTTAAAAGAGATATGTAGATACAATGGAGGTCAGGACCCGTCAGTGTTTGTCCTACCTGTCTTTCGCTTCTGCTTATTAAAGCAGGCAGGAAAACCATAAAACCCCCAGAATCCCTTGGGATGAACTCTGACCGCCGACTGCAGCGTCTCCCCCATGAACCATCGGGCGCTCTCCTCAAACCTTTGCCTTGCCAACGTAGTCGTTGCCCTCTCTGACAACTCCGGTCTCTCCTGTCTCACCAGCAGCTTGGACTGCCTCCGGTACTCCATCTTGGTTCCAAAGTTTCTCTCCCACAATGGCCGCCACTCTTCCCAGTCGATGACGGCTATACCGGTGAAGTTTGGCCGCAGCAACCCGGACATCTGCGTCATCGCAAGAGAAAGGTGGGCTGAGAGGTCGCTGAGCTGCGGTATCCCTCCGTTTACCTTCCCGCCGTCTCGTGAGAGGTACGGATATTTCCCCAGGCGGTCCCGGTAGAAGATGGTCATTTTCTGGAAAATGTAAAGGGGACACATGCTCATTTTCAAGTTTATACCTATAGTTCTACTAGAACATGTTTATATGCTGTAATGTTCAAAAAACACTTTTTTCTTCAAACTGTCTGTCTGAATATAACTAATATCACCCTCTGTCTGAAACGCTCCATTTTAGCGCCTGTCTCTTTAAGGCTCCCTCCCGAAAAAAAAACCCCAAATATGGCACAGCTTTGCAAAGGTAGTTCTCAAACCTTGGGTGGAGGTACTCAGATGAAGCCAGTGTTATTACTAATGAGTCTGTGTGACAGAGGAAGGGGAGCCAAATCTGAATGGCTTGTTGAATCACATGGTTCCTGATGGAATACATCAGTATACACTCCAGGTACCCAAATGTAGGTACACAAGCACTGATAACGTGTTTTTATATGTCCTCTTTAATCATTTTTGAAAATTATTACAAAACTCTGCAGCACTACAATGCTTTTAGCCTCTTTTAGCTTGTTGTTTTGGTTTCAGCACCCTCCCCAAAGATCTGATAAAGCCACTTTACACTTCCTGTCAAGCATCAAACATTAGAGACGAGTTACTGAATTTAACAACACATCTAGCAGCTAAAAAGTCTGATCATTTTTCTAAGGAGTTAGTTGAAACCAAACCAAAGATAAAAGTAGAGTGAATAATGAAATACTGGTGGACCGGGACACCTGTGTATAAAAGGCAATACTATATGTTAACACGTAAGCCATAAATAAAGAAGGGCGATAACTTATTTGGCTGTGTATGTGTCCCAAAATATACTATAAATATATGGCACTTTTTTTTTTTTTACTGGGATCAGTAAAGTATCACATCCTGTTGGTGACTCCACCCACTCAGGTCATCACCTGTCCCTGGAAGCGCTGCTGTCTGTTCTCCACGATGTCAAAGTGGTCCAGGTCCAGACGGACGTTGTAGCGCTTGTGACAGCGAGCCGTGGGCATGTTCCACACCACAACGAAGGGCCGGCCCTGCAGGACGGGGCCTGCTGCGGCCACGGCCGGCAGGGGGGCGTGGGGGAGGACAACTCCCACGCAGGAGAGGGGAGAGAGGAAGAGGAGGAGGAAGGGGAGAGGGAGGTGAGACAGAACCATAGCTGCTCACCCACTGACGTGTGCCGTCCTTCCTGACAGGAGAGAAATGGGCCGTGAGATTTACGGATGAGGAACATCTTGGTGTTGGAAATAGACTGAAAATCTAACACACACATAACACACAACAGCTTCTTTGTGCTCTGAGATCATTATAACATCATGTAAAGCATTTATTTGAATATTACAATCCCGACAGGCAATAACATGAAGACAAATGAATATGTTAAGAAAAGCTATTTATTCACAGAATGTTTCATAATTGAAAAGCTTTATAAAATTTTTTTCAATGTAAAACAGTTCTTTAGAACTTTAATAAGACTTCAGTTCTCTGGCACTTAAATAAGGCACATTCACAACGGACATTACAGAGTCATAACTTAATAGCAGCAGGTATAGACTGGATTTGGGGAATATTTCCCAATAGCAGAGCTGCTCAAAGGGTAAAAGTAACGTTTGGTTGGGTTGTTTGGATGAGCCAAAATATGTTTGTTTTTTTCCAAATTACCTTTATGAGCTTTCACAGTTAACCTGTACATCCAAACACAGTCCTTGTCCTAATCCCCTCGCTTTCAAAATATTCCCTCCAGACAAAACAGTTCAATTGAGTAGTTATGAATTCTTTAATCTACATCTTCTCCTCCTCTTATTAGAAAAATCCATTATCTACCGATATGAAAATATTGTTCATCTCAAAAGTCTTACTGCCAGAGGATGTTTCCTTCTCTAAGTTGCCTTTTGGACCAGAATTGGTTTCCTACCTAGTTGTGATGTCACGAAATCCTCTTGAACATCTCAAACTAAGATGTAAAGCTGAGCGCAGCAGATGGATATGAAAGCAGCCTTCTAGTGTCAAACTGAGCTCTACATCGCTCTGCACAGTGAAGCCAAAACACCCAAGTACAGTAAATATTAAATGGTGGGGGACTTGAACCATTGGCAATTTGCTGAAGTAAGCAATTATCCACCTGTTTTACAACCTGGGTCTTATTTTCTCAGTGCTGGCCAACATTCTGTATGTAAACTAGTTATTTGGAAAAACAAGAGTTGAGTGTACCCAGACTTCAACCAAGATTCAGGTTTATTTTGCATTTCTTTGTTTTTTTTAAAACATTTCTGTCTTTCACACCGTGTCTTTCCTCCATTACTCGTTTTCCGTGTGTCAGAGACCATTGATGGTACATGTGCTTACTGTCCTTGTACGTGTGTTTCTGTCTTTTGATGTGCGCACACATGTAATGCGAGGGAATGACTTCCCAAGTGTGTCTTTGTCAAATGTCTTTGTGCATCCAATAGATGGGAACTCCTTTGGCGTCTCTGTAGGGAGTCTCAGTCAGAGTCTGAACTACAAGCTGCACCGCAGACTGAGGAGGAGGAGGAGGAGGAGGGATGGAAGGAGGAGGAAGGACGGAAGGAGGTAGTGGAGGGAGAGGAGGAGGAGGGAAGGAAGGAGGAGGGATGGAAGGAGGTGGTGGAGGAGGAGGAGGTGGGATGGAAGGAGGTGGTGGGGGTGGAGGATGTAAACTAGAAGGTGGAGGAGACCCCACAACACAAGCACCTCCTTGTGGTACCTGAGCATTCATCTTTGTCCGTGTCATTGTCTGTGTGTTCGCCTCTTCTTCTTCTTCTTCACTCTGCATTCTGGAGAACCTCAAAAGCATCTCCATGGGAACAAACGCCGCCATGGCGCCTGCGTTCTGCACCGGCATCGACAGCACGTAGCCGAGGTGGGAGTAGAAGTGCTGCTTGTCGTGGGTCGTCAGGCACAGGCGCTTGAACCCTCGGCTTTCGGCGTAGCGCTCGGCCTCTTCCATCACAGTCCGGCCGTAGCCCTTCCCCCGCTCGGCGTCGGACACCACCACCGACTCCACGAACAGGCTGCTGCTGCGACCCACGACCCGGGACAGCCGGGCGTGGCCGAGCAGCTGCTCCGTCTCTCCGCGGCCGCGCAGGAGGACCAGGCAGACGGGGAACTCTGGGCAGGACTTCTGGAGGGAGTGGACCCGGGCGGCCTGGCTCCTCCGCCACTCGGAGTTGACCAGGTCGGCACAGGAGGCCAGCAGGTCCGGACGCCGGTGGATCGGAACCACACAGATCCTCTCTGGTCGTTCAGAGTCGGTGTGCAGCTTCTCTTTAACTTCTCCGTCCACTGCTGGGATCTCACGGACTTTCTCAACATGTTGTGTCGGACAGCGTGACGTTGAGACGGGGTGCAGGTCGACGCCCAGCTCGCCATCGGTCTCCGGTTTGGAAATCGTTGATGTTAGTGACCTGTGGCGATCAGGGTGTAACTAAAGTCAGTCTTCATTCAACTCCTGCGGCTCAGTGTAAAATATAGACGTTAGAATTGGTTTTGAACGTGCGGTTCCTCAACTCTGTGGTTAGTCTGATCACAGTCTGAGCCAGGAAGAGGTCTGGCGCTACATGGACACTCAGCCTGACGTCTTTAGCTCAGTTCTGCTGTAAGAAGAGACGCATGCATGAGGATAAAACTAGAGAGTTGATCTCTCTCTACTCTCCGTCTATACTCCCCGTTTCCACCGCAACCTTTACTGTCCTCTTGTTTCTGTAAAAGACTGCTCGGGTGTTGGGAGTTGTGTGCCTTGCTCATAGACACCGGTGGATACGGATGAAGGGGTCAGTGTTCAGGAGTGACTCATTCATTTCCATGCAGGTCTGGTTAGAGAACAGAGGGACCTTCAGTCACCATGCAATTGAGCTCTGAAGTAGAGCTGCAGCTATTCATTTCATTACAGAATAATCTGACGATTCATTTACAAATTCACATTATTAAATTGCTCGTTTTGTCCGACCAACAGTTAAAAACCCCAAAAGGTATTCAGTCTAACATTGTTTAAGACAAGGAACTAATAGATTCTTGGCCTTTCCTCTTTAAAACAAAATTACTTAAATGATCATTATAATCACTTAAAAGATAAAGTAAAAAATAATTGCTGAGCAACTTTGTTGCCATCGACCAATTGTTCCAGCTCTACTCCAAAGGTCAGGACTGACAGAGTGATTTTCTTTTCAATCGTTCATAACACACCGGGTGCATGACCATTAAACATGTTGGCAACATTTATCACCCACAGTGAGCATGAAAGTGTCCTTTGAGCTAACAAACACTAAAGCTGAGCCTGAGTGCAGCTAACACTGAGAAAGGGAAGTTGAGTGTAGGATGTCCCGCCCTGAAATAGAGGAGGAAGTCTTACATTTTGTTTTTTTAACACCCAACAAGGTTTTCTGGTGTGTAATGAAAATTACAGCCTGACAGGGCCGCTAGCATGGCTCTTGCATGCAGATGTGTGAGGGAGCATGCATGCCTTCATCTATGTGTGTGTGCTGATTCATTAATGTCCACCTACAGCTTCCCTCTGCTGTTGACCACAGCTGTTTTAAGGACCAACTTCAATGTTATTATGTTACAATTCAGCCTCAGCAGAATTACTTGATGACTGACCGCATTGATGATCACAGGTATGATGTGCAGAGGTGTTTGTGTAGAGAATGGGGAAATATTTTATGGTAACACATCTTACCACACAGTTTCTTGAGCAAGCTGATCTGGAGCGCAGTGATGACATCCATAAAGTGTTCTGGTTTTTGCTAATTATTCAGGCATTCATGGACTCACGCTATGCCCCCATAATCTAATATCATGTCATGTTATTAGAGCATGGTGTCAAACGTTGCCTTTTTGAAGCACAAAGTGAGCTGACTCATGGTAGGAGATGGCAGCGTGGTAGCGACAGATAACGCTATCATACTATCATACATCGCAAAGGCGCCATTAACTCTGTTTAGTACAGTTCTTTGTGCTTTTTCACGAGTCTGAAACTGTGTTAAGCCTTAAAAACACTTAAAGAGGCAGAAGCCCAGAGTTGAGCTCATCAGTGAACTGAAGGAGGAGTTTCTCTATTTTCAGTGTGTGAACCCTCAAAGACAAAAAGAATACAAATGTAAAATGTTGCATGGGATTCATGTTAGTATTGCAGAAATAAAAACAAAGTAAAAAACTCACCCAGAGAGAACAGCTGAAGCCAAACGCCTGACTGTGAGCTATGAACCTGGTACTGCCTACTACTGCAACTCAATGCACATTCTCCAGAAAAAGGATGTTGAAAAGATGCAACAGGAAACTGACAGTTGACAGATAAACACAAATGACACAATGACCTCAATAACTTCTCATTTTCCTTTGAGATTATGACCATCACTATGAATACGAGACTTCAGATAAACTGGTTACACATGACTACATGTCTACAGCGCTAAAGGCCTTTTTAAGCTTCTGCACCACTTAAGGACTCTTGAGCAAGGCATTTACTCCCGATAGACGTCAATAAAACAGTAATATTACTAAAAACATTTAGTGCACGACAAATGTAGCTCTCATTTTGTGGTGTTTCCAATTTAACGTATGTTCTGTTGTCTGTCCTCTCCAGGTAGCCTTGTTATGCCGACATGAAGCTCCTCGCTCACCTTCTGCAGGATCGTAGAGATAATGTTTTATTCCAATTAAAAATATTTTAAGCTTTTCTGATTAAAGAAAGTTAAAGACAGACATAACCGTGTGTGTGTACATATAACTGTATGTTATACATATTACTACATGACATTAGATTTTCAACTGTTACTAGATATACAATCCAATACTATGTTTAGAAGTAATGTTATTGTTTTACAAGATTGGAAGCCCCGCACTGAAGCAGGGCATCAAAAAATTAGTTTATACTCTTAATGTTCCTCTCCACGGAAATCTTTAGTAAAAGGCGAAAGATTTATGCGATCTGAAGAGAAACGAGAGTGTACTGAAGAATGAACGACAGAGTGCAGGACGCCTATCCCCGTCATACCTTCCTCTGTTAGGTTTCATTCATAAAAGTTTATTTGTAAATAACATTAAAAGCATACAGGACCGCAGAAAAAGTGTTTGTATTATCTGGCAACTGCATCGCAACGTTGTGAGTGAAATATAAGTGTAAATAGTTTAGATTATACGGTAACTGCTACGAGCACGCAATGCATTATGGGAACATGGCGGCCACGGTCACGCCCCTACCTTTTGAACATGTTTTCTTTAGTTTAAGATTAAAGATTTATCATGAATACAATTGTAATTGGGGGACGTTTAAATTAATTTGGGATGTGAAGCTTGTAGTTACACATTAAGAGTAGCGCTACTTTTCTCAATTTGCGCTAAAACTGTGCGCCGGGAGGTTAAACACTCCAAAGATTAAATGTATCAAGAGAGTAATCGCCTTCCGTTCCGATTTAACAAAAATACATTTAAAAGTTGTATGTTTCAAACATAATCCATTTCTTTGCCGTGAACATTGCGTGACCGCATATTCTGAATGCATCACATTTTACTCAGTTAAAAAGTACGTTAAGAAATGTAGCATTTCTTAAAAAACGGGATATAATGTATCCGCGTTGCTCTGATCCAGATGATCCTCGTAGCCTTCCGTCAGCATCTTTGTTTTCCAAATAAATTATTTTTTAGAAAACACACTGTAGGCGTGTGTGCAGTAAAATAAAAGCATGTGATATCGTTACACAAAAGTGTGTAAAACACACAAATCCCATGTCTATATAAACTGTAACAAACCCAACGTAAGGTAAGTAATAACACCTGGTAGCCTCAAACAGACCCGTTTTCGTTCTCGAAAGTAAAAACGAACTCAAAGCCTTATAAAATGTTTGTGGGGACAACAGGCTAATTATATTATTGGAGCTGTAGTGACTTGGCCTGCGGGCTAACGTTGGTCAGAAAAAAAACGACTATCGTTTTATTTTGGACACACTTCAGTCCTCATCCACTTCCATGTAAGGTAAGACTACAAACTGACAGTTGGAAGTCAGTGCTGCATGCTAGCTAGCTCGTTAGCTTACTTTTAGCTTTGCGTGCAGTGCAGTGACTTGTGTTAGATATTAGGAGGAACCGCACGTTCACTTGTTCATCAGCGAACACAACTCTTCATTCTGGTTCGTTTCTCACCACACTGTAACGTTACCTACATCTTTAGTCTCGCGGCTCGTCTTCGGCGCTCGTCCCCCTCAAGACTGCTCGTGTTTGACAGACAGCTGATCTGCGGTCGGCTGTATTTTTTTGCAACGCCGGACAACAGCTGATAAACGTCAGTGGTGTCTGTTCCAAGGTCAGTTTCAAACGGTACGTGAATGCTGCCTTTTCTGTAACAGGAGATGTTGCAGGTGCGGTTACTGGTCTAAAGGGACATGTACGCCACCCTGCGGATGGGAGTGATATTACATCAGATAAAGCCAAACCTATTACTCGTACTATATCATAATAAATAACAATCATGCAGTAAATACGAAGTTACCACATTCTCAGGTTGTTAGTCAAGTTTCAGAAGAAATTCAACAAAGAAGCAAGACTTAACAAAATCTGCTTTATTTTTTTCAGTTCTTTTATCCAGGACAACTCATTCAAGGATAATCAAGGAGAAATAAGCACTAATGTTTTTTATTCGAATTTTTTTTTCTGTTTTTACATTTTGTCAGAGATGGATGGTGAATTTGAACAGAACTGGTCAAAGTAAAACAAAAAATAATAAATGAATATATAACAACAATACATTAATAATTAATTCAATACAATGAAGTGAGGCATCAATGATATAATAACAATGGCCCAGAAAACGTAGGGTTTTTATTGTTTTCACTGCTTCTTCTGTGGTACTGCAATAATCACCAGCACTAACTCAACTCAATCAACAACAGTAGAGGAAGAAATGGAGCGTGCTCACAAAGTTCTGCACCCCGGCCTCCCAAAGGGGAAACACTTTTTTATTTAAATAATATTTTATCAAAGCTTCTGTTTTTTTTTATCTTCATAAAACATTTCTAAAACTTATCTGTTCTCTTTAAACTTCTCTCTTTTTTTGCATTTTGATTAATTTTCCTTTTCAGAGATTTTAAAAGTTTTTTGTCTCCATTTTACCACAATGTGTCCGTTTTTGCAAGTGTGGTTGCCTGTATGTTTTTGAGCATATGTATGTGTACCTGTGTGTGTTGATGTGTCCTTTGCTAAGGCTTTGTTTAAGTTGTGTGTAATCTCATCTGAACACAAAGCCTGCACATATGACACGTGTGTGTATTGTATGTCCTTACACTGCGCTACCTGCATTATGGACATCGCAGCGAAGACATTCATACTGAGAGGTTGAAGCTGGCTCAAGCAATGAGGTGTATGGCCTTTAGCTTGCTCTGTCTGTCTGTCTGTCTGTGTCTGTCTGTCCGTCCGTGTGTGTGCCTATTAATGACGTGTTGAACTAAAATGTGCACGAGGATGAGCAGACTGAGTGAAGTGGGCGTCTCTCTCAGTGCCTGCATAAGTGTCGATGTACATGTATGTGTGTGAGTGTGTACATACTGTGTGGGATTTTATGTACTTGCAGGTGAGCCAAGAACAATTCTTCATTTGTTTGTTCACTCCATGTAAAGCTTATTATGAGTCTGTATAGCCACTGCACGATATGAGAAAGGACATATGTCAGTGTGTGTGAGTGTGTGTGTGTGTGTGTGTGTGTGTGTGTAATAGAAGGCACGGAGGGTGGTGTGGGAGGCTCAGTCTCTCAGGTCCATGCTGGAGCCGAACAGGGCCACCAGCTGCTCCTCATAGTGGGCGATGTTCCTCTTCATGATCTCCTTACAGGAACCCAGGAGGCGCTCAAAGGCCTGAATGTCTATTACTGCACAGATAGAGGACGAGACAAGAGAGATGTCAGGTGCGTCTGTGGAGAGACACCTCAGGTACTAAAACACAGCCCAGTCCTTACACAGCATCCGCTGGACAGCACACACAAAAAAACAGGTAGAAAGACATCCCTGCTCTTAAATGTCCTTACAGGACCTCAGATAACCCTTGACGTCCTCCTGCTCATCTTCTACATTCTACAACACCACAACGGGGAGAATGAAAGAGTACGACAGACAGTAGATGTTGCTGCAGTATAGTTGAGTGATTTTTCTCTGCTTCGCAGCTGTTCGAGGCAGGCTGTTAGTACGGTACATAGGTGCGCTGGACAACAACACAGACAGGAAGGTGAGCGTACCGACAGGAAGAGCGTGGGGAGAAAATAGGGGAGCAAAAAGGGAGATGACTGAGAACTACATCTACTATGAAAAAAATAACAAATAAAGCGGTGTAATTAGCATTAAGCACATTTCACAACAGAGGGAATAGAGCCGACAGAGAAACACAGCTCAACAGCTGTTAAAGAATCATGTGTTCATTTTGAGAAGTGAAGAGCTGTAGAGCCTGAAGTAGTGCCTCCACTGTGAACTATTACTGAACAGCCTTTAATCAACACAGAGTACAAGGTGACGACAGACAACAACCGTGAATTAATCAGAACTAAAATGCCACTTCATATCTCATGACAAACCACTTGTAACAGAGCAATTAGTAGGAAATGAAAACCACAGACTATGTTGTGAGGTTGAGTGGTTTAAATAAAGCTTATTAGATGAAAGTGTCATTTGATTATGATCACATGAAATGTTCTTTTAAATGCAGGCGTCACATTCCCTTCATGTCGATGGAAACGGAGCTACTTTAAACACACATCTGAGCAGCATTAGCCAGGATGCGGACAGACGTGTTAAGCGGGTGTATTTGGTCTTACCCACACACTTGACATTGCCCACTGCGTAGGCCGAGGCGGCCCGGGGCTTGTTGGTGACCAAGGCCAGCTCCCCGAAGTAGTGACCCCTGCTACAGCGCGTTAGCTCCACCTCCGCATTGTCTGCCTTCGTCTGCAGGGAAGAGAGGAGAGGAATAAAGGTTAGGAACCACTGAGCACCGCTCCGCTCTCCGCCCCCACCCAGAGGGAAGCACTCATTCCCATTCTCATTCCAGCTGGGGAGAGCGGGGTGTCGGAATGCTCTGCAAGGAAACTTCTTGGTGGGAGAAAAATAACCAGATTTGATATATCGGTGCATATTCCTGTACCTATAAAAACATTTTTAGAATATTTATCAGCCTAAGAGTGGCTGAATCTTTTCTTTGCTTTTTTTTTTTTTTTTTTTTTTTTACAGCTGGACATATGTATGGTAGAGGCGGTAGAGGAACATGTATTCCACTATCAGGTCTCTGAGGGACACACGGGGAAATTAATTCACCCTAGCGGCAAAAAAGTTAATTAGCTGCATGGAGAGTGGTGAAACAGAGACGGCGGTGAGGAGTATCTTACTTTACTCTTCATCATGATCTTGACCTCCCCAGATTCTACTATATAGAAGCATTCAGCCTTGTCTCCCTGAGAAAGAAAGAAAGAAGAGCATAAACACATTTAAAAGGTAGTTATGTACCATATGTTGAAATCCTTAATATTTCACTGCTGTATGAAACCACATCAGCTTTCTTCCCATGTCGTACCTGTGTGATGATGCGCTCACCGTCAGGGAACTGCTTCGATCCTAAGACATCCACAATCTTCATCCTCTCGTTAGCCTGCGCCAAAAAAGAGAGCGCGAGAGAGAGGGGGGGGGGACGGGGGGGGACAGGAAGGGTTAGGGGAGAAAAATAAAATGATTAACGTAGGGAGCAGAGAGAATTGTTTCATTGACTATGCAGGCAGATTACAGCCATGTAAACTCCTCTTCATCAGACTTCCTCCTCTCATACTGTGCTCTTGCTTGTCTGGACCATTCACTCCACTTGGGTCGTGTACAGTTTGGGCTTGATGGTTCAACAAAGGGTCTGTGACTGTTCATCAAGCAGTGTTGTACAAGTGGCATGTATGTCTAAGAAAGTACACGTTTAGCCGTCATCTGAACTAAATATACAGAATGTTATTCAGTGTAGAACAGAGCTTCTGCCTTCATTAACTGGCTGATATTTAGCTGTTAGCTTGACGTCTAGCTTCACAGGTGATGCTGTTGCATCCACTGTGTAGTGGGACTCTGAAAAAGAGCCTGTGAAGGAGAACTCACCTCCAGTGACTTGAGTAAGGGCACGGACTCGATGAAGGCCTCGTACACCCTCCTCTTCTTTGCATTGTTCTTCACGATGAGTCTACGAAATGTGGCACGGTCCTAAGGGAAAAAACAAACGCGAGTAAACAAACACCTCCCTGAGGCAGACGGACGGAGGCTCTCCGACCGCTGTGACTGCTGCTGGTCCTTCCTGTGCTCGGCCACAAGGAGGCGCTGCAGCAGCACGAACTGTCAGAGCGGAGCCCGGCTCCATTCACAGATAGCAGGGCTCCATTCTTAACATGTCCTAGCGTCATGGCTCAATGAGCTGTAGCTGGTGACTGTACCGAACCCGCTCACAATGCAATCCTGAGAAGACAACTCGAGGGACAAACAATTCAAAGACGGAGGTTTTTTTAAGATTCACAAAAGGTGACGCCTGCTTTCTAAATATACTGATAAGAGAGAAATAAAAAGAGGCGACTGAGTACTTCTAGTCTGCTAATTGGATCATTTATGATTTAGAAACAATTAAAGAAACTCCGGGTAATTAGGCAGTTTACTTTGACAAAAAAGTGTGTTTTACATTGGGGGCATTCTTACAGTATTTTGTGTCGCATTAAAATCTATAAATTCTGTGTCTATGCATGTTTGTCTCCGTTCTTACCAGTCCCCATAGCGCCCCCTCCTCGGTGGCAACGATGGTGGCGGCGCGTGGCGTGTTGTACATGAGTGCCAGCTCCCCGAAGCTGCCCTTATTGTCATACTGACCCACCGTTGTTCCCGTTACCATGATGTCATACACCCCCCTGGAGACAGAGAGAGAAGAGAGGCAGAGAGAGGTAGGGAAGGAGACAAATGAAGGAAACAGGGAATAAAAAAGAGACAGAAATACAAAAGGCAACATGGAAGAAAAATGAACTAGAATGACTTTTGATTTCTGCAATTGAGGCAAAAGAGGTGATCAGTGTTTTGTTTATTGACCTACTGACTGGTTTAAACAGACGTCTAATTACAGCACATCCGTGGCCTCTGGGCAGGACCCTGTGTTTGGCAGACGGAGCGAGCTAATCGTTTGTGTTGTGTGCATATTTCTATTACAGTAGAAGCTTTTCACACATTTGAAAACTGACGATATGTATAGCGGAGAGCAATTCAGCCCTTCTGCGAACGCTGCTGTTTATCTGCATGTACAGCATCAAAAAGTCTCTCTCTCTCTCTCTCTCTCTCTCTCTCTCTCTCTCTCTCTCTCT